TAAATGCATATTAACCACTCAATAAAAAAGCACCTAAGCCTAAGTTTGAACAAAAGGCATCTTCCTATTATATATGTTATATCATAATATTTCTAAGATAAGAGGAATATTTTCTTATTTTTTTTAATTGAAGTTGGTTGATTTACAATGTTGTGCTAGTTTCAGGTAACAAAGTGATTCCATTATACATATATATATATATATATTCTTTTTCAGATTCTTTTCCCTTATAGGTTATTACAAAATAGTGAGTATAGTCTCTTGTGTTATACAGTAGGTCCTTGTCAGTTACATATTTTATAAATAGTAGTGTGTATATGTTAATCCCAAATTCCTTATTTATCCCTCTTCCACCTTTCCCCTTGGTAACCATAAGTTTGTTTTCTATGTCTATGGGTCTATTTCTGTTTTGTATATAAGTTCATTCATACCTTTTTTTTTCTTTTCTAGATTCCACATATAAGCAGCATCATATGATATTAGTCTTTCTCTGACTTACTTCACTTAGTATGGTAATCTCTAGGTCTATCCATGTTGCTGCAAATGGCATTATTTCATTCTTTTTTTATGGCTGGGTAATATCCCATTGTATATATATATATATATATATATATATATATATATATACCACATCTTCTTTATCCATTCATCTGTCAATGAACATTTAGGTTGCTTCCATGTCTTGGCTATGGTAAATAGTGCTGCAGTGAAATTTGGGTGGCATGTATCTTTTCAAATTATGTATTTTTCTAGATATATGCCCAGGAGTGGGACTGAAAGATCACATGGTAGCTCTATTTTTAGTTCTTTGAGGAACCTCCATACTATTGTCCATAGTGGCTGTACCAATTTATATTCCCACCAATAGTGTAGGAGGGTTCCTTTTTCTCCACACCCTCTCCAGTACTTATTATTTATAGACTTTTTGATGATGGCCATTCAGGCTGGTATAGTTTTGATTTGCATTTCTATAATAATTAGTGATGTTGAGCCTCTTTTCATGTGCTTTCTTATTTTAAATCCTAGTATCTTGTTCAGTGCATATCATGTAGTAGGTGTTTAATATATATTTGTAAAAAAAAATTGAAACATCTTGATAAGATATAATTCACATACCATTCGATTCACCCATCTCATGTATACAATCTAAAGATTTTTAGTATTTGATAGAGTTGTAAATTATCACCACAATCAATTTGTACATTTCATCATTCCCCAAATAAACCCTGTACCCTTTAACATAACCCCACAACCCCTCTAGCCCTAGTAAAACTGAATCTACTTTTTGGTCTATAGATTTGTCTATTCTGGACAAGTCGTAAATTGAATCATATAATATGTGACTTTTTGTTTCTGGCTTCCTTAATGTAGCATGATGTTCTCAAGGTTTACCTTGCTGTAGCATGTATTATTATTTAATTCCTCTTTATTGCCAAATAATATTCCATTGCGTTCTTCCATTCCTCCGTTGACAGGCATTTGGGATATTTCTACATTTTGGCTATTATTAATAATGTTGCTATAAACACTGGTGTGCAAGTTTATGTGTGAACATGGTTTCAATAATTTTGGGTATAAGCCTAGCAGTAGAATTATTGGATCATGGTAAGTATATGTTTATCCTTTCCATAAACTGCCACAATATTTTCCAAAGTAACTGTGCCATTTTTCAATCCGACTAGTAATGTATGAAAGTCCCAATTTCTCCATATTCTTGCCACTTAACTGTTCTCTCTCTTTTTCGTATAGCTATCCTAATGTGAAATGATATCTCATTGTGGATTTTATTTGCATTTCCCTTTATGGCTGAAGATATTTGAATGTCTTTTCATAGTCTTTCTTTTCCTAAAGTTTACTAATCAACTGATTTTAATTTAATTTTTCCAGTTTCACTGAGGTATAGTTGACATATAACTTTGTATTAGTTTAAGACGTACAACATAATGATCTGATATTTGAATATATGGCAAAATGATAACCACAATAAGTTTGGTTAACATCAATCACCTCACATAGTTACAATTATTTGTCTTGTGATGAGAACTTAACTATAGTCACAGTGCTATATACCACATCCCAGAACTTATTTATATTATAACTGGAAGTCTGTACCTCTTGACCACCTTTACCCACTTCCCCCATCCCTCCACTCCCCACTTTTGGCAACTACCAATCTGTTCTCTGTTTCCATGAGTTCAGGTTTTTTTAGACTCCACATATAAATGAGATCATATGGTATCTGTCTTTCTTTCTCTGACATTTCACTTAGCATAATGCCCATTTTATGTTCTTATTGGTAATTTACTGATTATTCTGGAGGAATGTCTATTGATCTTTTGCCCATTTATTAATTTGTTAATTGTCCTTTTATTATTGAGTTGTAAGAGTTCTTTTTATATTCTAGATACAACTCCCCTGTCAGATATGTGATTGACAAATAATTATCCTATTCTGTGGGGTGTACTTTAATATCTTGATTGTGTCCTTCAAAGTTATGTGGTGTTTTAATTTTGATGAAATCCAATGTATTTTTTTTTGTTGTTACATGTGCTTTTTGTTTTATATCTAAGAAGCCATTGGTTAATCCAAGGTCAGAAAAATATACGCTTGTTTTCCCCTAAGCATTTTCTAGTTAATTCTTACATTTAGGTCTTTGATCTATTTTGAGTTAAATATTTGTATATGGTGTAAGGCAGGCAGCGGTACAACTCTATTATCTGAATGCAAAAATCCGGTCATTCTGGACAAATTTGTTAAAAAGACCCCTCTTTCTGTATTGAATTGCCTTGGCGCTCTCATTGAAAATCAAATAATGTATGACAGTACCACGATATCTTGATTATGGTGACTTTGTAGTAAATTCTGAAATCAGGAAGTATGAATACCTGAAATTTGTTTTTATCTTTCAAATTGTTTTGGCTATTATGAGTCTCTTGAATTTCCATATGAATTTTAGGATCACGTTTTCAATTTCTGCAAAAATTGCCAACTGTGATTTTGATAAATATTGCATTGAATCTTAAGATCAAATTGGGGGTTATTGCCATCTGAACAAATTTAAGTTTTCTGATTAATAACAACTGAATGTCTCCTTATTTTCTTGTAGTTTTCAGAATATGATTTTTACATTTCTTCTGTTAATTTATTCCCAAGTATTTATTTTCCTATTTTTATTCTTGTTGATGCTATTATAAATGGAATTGTCTTTTTCAATTTCATATTTTCCATCACAAGTATATAGAAATACAATTAATTTTGTATATTGATCATGTATCTTGCAAACTTACTAAACTCACTTATTAATTCTAAGAGGATTTAGTGGATTCCTAAGATTTTCTAGCTATAAGATTATATTATCTGTAAATAGACAGTTTTACTTCTTTCTTACTAACATGGATGCTTTTTATTTCTTTTAATTTCTTACATAATTGTCCTAACTGGAAGAATCTTCAATACAGGGTTGAATACAAGAGATGAGAATGGACATTTTTCCTTGTTCTTGCTATTAGAGCAAAAGCATTCAATTGGTAACCATTAAGTATGATGTTGGCTCTGGGCTTTCCACAGACACATTTTCACTCTTGATTATGTCATTTGGTGGTATAGTCCAAGTTGTCTATTTTTACTTTTGTTGTCTGGGCTTTTGGTGTCATATCTAGGAAATCCTTTCCAAATTCAATATCATGAAGTTTTCCCCCTATTTTCTTCTATAAGTTTTATAATTTTAAATTATAAAATTTAGGTTTTTGACTTAAATTTTGTACAAAATAAAGGTTCAATTTTATTCATTGTCCTGTAAGCAAGCTGGAGTGAGGAGAGCTGGATGGACAACAGTTTTGGTGTGCCATGCCTGAGGTAAAGCTACTACTCTATCAGTGCGGAATTAGTGGAAGAATGAAACCCCTAATCTTTTGATCATACTCTCTAGGAATTTAGGCTTTGAAACTGGATCTGAGGAGCAGAGCACATGTGTATGAAATGCTGGCAACCTGCAATTCTCAGGGTGATAATATAGCTCTCAACTTTAAGCTAGAGAAAGAGGACGTCTTACATGTTTGGTTACACCTTCTTGGATTGGATTTTCTAGCATTCTGAGCTGAGAATGAGAGAGGAGGTGTGAACTGTGTTTCAAATGATACAGACTCTTGCTATTCCTTTATGTTTTAGATTTCCTTCAATAAATGTTTATATATTTGTTGTATACACTTATGGAAATATCTGGAGACCTTAATTTTTTAAAATAATTTTAACAAATTATACTTCTTTCACTGAAGAACAGAGCTCTTCATGCTACCATTCAAATGTATACATACTTGTTAAATTGTTTACGTAAAAATCCTTATCATTTAAACAGTGTTTCTATAAAGCTAATTATTAATACACTTTCTTTAATAAAATATTAGATTCTTTATTGCTATTTTGTCCTAAAGAAAACATATATTACTGGATTTGCTGTACCTTCTCATTTTGGGGATGTAAACACATTAAATTTAACTTCTGTGGGTTTCAATGCTGAACCACATAGCTAAAGATATGTTGAAAAATTGCATTTATGTTATAAAGATATATAGTACTGCTAATTATCAAAGTTATATTGAAGAGCATTTGTAGGGCTGTTTCATACCAGCACCCCTTTAAAAGTAAATTGATAACAATCATTTTACATGAAAATCAATATAAATTATATAAAACAGTAATAAAAATGAATAATCAATATATTAATTTTATAAGTATGTATGGCAACATTTCCACATGTGTCTCATCTACCTCACTTATGGACCTGAAATTAACCATCCATACTTGCAGAACCAACATTAGGCAGTTAAGAAAAGTATGGGCTCTGGAATCAGACCTTTGTTTTAAGTCTGGCCTTTTTTTTTAAATTGACTTACAATATTGCATTAATTTCAGGTATATAGTATAGTAATTTTTTTTTTGCAGATTATATTCCATCATAGGTTATTACAAGATATTAGATAACATTCCCTGTGCTATACAGTAAAAATATGGAATGCTTCACAAATTTATGGTATCCTTGCTTAGGAGCCATGCTAATCTTATCTGTATTGTTCCAATTTTAGTATATGTGCTGCTGAAGTGAGCACAGTCTGGCTTATTTGATCCAATTAATTTAATTATGTTTAAATCTAGGTTAATTTTGGTTTGAATAACTTAACTTCTCAATGACTCAGTTTTAATATCTACAAAATGCAAGTAATAGCACTAACTCTGTGCTTTTCTGATGATTAAATTACTTAAGTATATATAACACCTAGAATGTGCTTATTTTTAAGTGCTTAATAAATGGAAGTCATTTTTGTTGTTATAATTATTAGCTATTTAAAAATAACCCTCTACCATTGGTTGGGTTTAAACCTACCATTACTGCTTTCCCATTAGAGTATTGAGCAAAGGCTAATAGGTCTAGCAATGAATTAATACAGTACTAGTTTTGATGTGCAGCTTATCACTTGCCAGCTATATGATTGTAGGAAATTTACCTAATCACTGTAAATCTTGATTTTATCAGTTTTTAAAAATGTTATCGTCTTTGAAAGAAAGATTCGAGATTGGTTAAGTAAGGTAGTACACAATAAGGCCTTTTAACTAAAAATAAACAACAAATTTTGCCCTCTGTAGATTGGTTTTCATTTCCCCCTTAGTTATCAATTATGCAAACCATTCTTATTTTGATTCTTATTAACGCTTTTCATTTTCAGGTGTCCTTCCTATGTTCTTTGTATCTGAATTCTCATTTTTCCTATGTCTTTCTATATTTATATTATACTTCTTAAGAAGTAAACAAAGGGAAAAATCTTTCAAGATATGAAAAAACTAATATTAAAGTTAATTGATTTTTGTTTTTTACATTTATCCTTTTCCAGGTCAGCTCGAGTGCCTTAAGGTTTTAATGATAACAAAGCAAATTTTCCTGTACTGCAAAAGGATTATTATAGAGATCAGAACCCATGTTATTATGAAAGATGAAAATCCTCACTAAATGCATCTGATATTAATTTTTTAGAAAATATTTGAATCATTAAAAAAAGAAATTTGTTTTTTTCACATAATTGTACTTTTAATATTTTAGCACTTCCTGTAGCTTCTAACAGAAAAGGATTTCTTGTTTTACTAATGTGCAGTTTAGAAACAGTTTTATGAAAAAATAAGAATTTTACTACAATATGTGTTTACTATTAATGTATATAACTGTGTTGTTGAAGCAATGTTAAAACATGAATATTGCAATATTAAATGTAATATTTGAGAAATTAAAAATATCAATTGACTTCAAATCTCAAATCACAGAGATCACCTGTTTATCATAATGCACTTTTTAAAAATTTCTGAATATATATTATGAGCTAGTTATAAAAAGGGGATTATAGTAAATACAGTTTTTTTCAAATTGCTTTTTTAACACTGCTAACATGAACTTTTAAAAAACTTCTTGCATATTTTGTTTACAAAATAGTGATACAATATACAATTCATAGTGAAACTATTGTATGACTGATTTATCTTTCTAAAATATTATATGTTTAAGATCCACAATGTAATGAACAAAATTCTGCATACATTTATCTTCATTCAGTTACATGAGTCCTAGAAACAGAAATGCAATATCAAATACTGTAAAGATTTTTTGACATATATATTTACCATACTGATCACCAAAGATTATGGTAGTTAATAGTATGTAAACGTATGAAACATTTCAAAGTACACTTATATTTAAAATTCATAATGTCAAGGGGAACTTTAATACACCTACCAATCCTTCCACACCTCTATAACCTGGTATTATATAAAAATAAGTAGAGAGGGGCTTCCCTGGTGACACAGTGGTTAAGAATCCGTCTGCCAATGCAGGGGACACGGGTTGGAGCCCTAGTCCAGGAATATCCCACATGCCGTAGAGCAACTAAGCCCATGAGCCACAACAACTGAGCCCACACGACACAACTACTGAAGCCTGAGTGCCTAGAGCCCGTGCTCTGCAATAGAAGAAGCCACCACAATGGGAAGCCCACGCACCACAACGAAGAGTAGCCCCCGCTCGCCACAACTAGAGAAAGCCCGAGCAGCAACGAAGACCCAACACAGGCAAAAATAAATAAATAATAAATTTATTAAAAAAATAAGTAGAGAAATCAACAGGCAGCCTTTATAAAACGTTATAGCAATTTGACGGAGTAATAATGTCTGTTGAATCTAATAATAAAAAGTGGATTTGTATGCTGCACGCTTTTTATTTCATTTTCCAAATAATTCATTTTTATTGCATCTTAGGTGTCCATGATAAATTGGAAATTAAAAACAAACAAAAACTTGCACTTCACCATAGATACTCTAAGAAGCACTGCTCTAACCCATTAAATCTTTCAGCACTGTTAGTAACCGTTTTATAACTTCCTTCTCTCCCCCATACTTTAAAACATCTTTCACATTTTTCACCATCAGCTAATAAGTTTGTTTCATATTTCATTGGGAAAATAGAAGGGAAAATCGATATACCTCCTAACTTTCCTCCCTCTCCCTACCCCCACCTTCACTCACTTTCAGCACCTGTATCCCTCCACTTCACTTTAGTTTCCTTTATAATGGATATGTTGTCCATGCTCCTACCTAAAGACAGTCCCTTCATGCTCCTCCTTCTAAAATATGTCTATAATCAAACTACTTTCCCCCAATTTTACCACTACCACTTTGGTACAAGTCAATATAATTTCTTCCGGAATTATTACACTAGCTTCCTGAATGTTCTTTCTTCCCCACTACAGAGCAGCCAGAGTGTTCCTTTTAAGCCTTAAGCATGACTGTGTCAGTGCTATGCTCAAACATCCAAAAGTTCCGGATTCCTTTTTCTCCTAAATGCATCTCCTCCCTGTGCTCCTGTTATATTCATATGTGTGTCATTCTGTCATTCTTAGAACTATGCAACCTCAGGTCAACTTTCTATAACCTCTGCCTAGGGCCACTTACTCTCAGATCCTTCATGGCTCACTCCTTCCCCTTCTTCATGTCTCTGTTCAAATGTCACTTCTGAGAGGAATACTTCACTGACTACCCTATTTAAAATTGAAAATCGCAGCACTCCCAGCTCCCCTTCATAGACTTATTTTCTCCACATCACCATCAGGAAGAATATATATTTTACTTTTTTATTTGTAAAAACTTCCTCTGGAAGCAGGAGACTCTCTGTCCACGTACACAACAGAGCAGAGAGCATCTCTCAAACAACAACCTCTGAAAGGTGATGTATAAATAGCCATTTCCCATGCCTCTCACTTCAGATGTTTCTGGGATCTGTGCTCTAGAGTTTTATATAGACTCCTAGACTTCTCTAGAGAAATAAATCCTCATTTAACTACAGTCGTAACTTCCTTGATAATGCATCATTTATTTGTGGACTTCCCTTTCCTGTCTTAATTCTACACTCCACTACTCAGGTTTCTAAGGATCACACCTCAAATATAGCACATGTGCTTGAACCCTTATCTTCAGTTGACATCTGAGGGGACCTAAAATAACACAATGTGTGAGACTATTGTTAATATATAGGAAGGACTGAACTTGTAGGATATGTGAATGTTCAGAAATATGAGATAATTTCTTACTGCTTTCCAAAGTAATCATGCCAGATATATTCCCACTGTCAATATACAAGAGATCCTATGAATTTGAATCCTCTCAAAGTCTTGATATTTGCAATATTATTACTTTTTTTGCCATAGGAATTACGTATGATGGTTTCACATGGTCATCTAGATTTACATACAATTTGTCACCAATAATGTTGACCATTATTTTTAGCTCTGTTGACCATATGTGTTTCTTCCTCTGTGAAATAACTGTTCATATATTAGACTTTTTCTATTGGCTATATTTTTGGCACAAGTTCTTTGTATATTATTACGAATTGTGACCTCAAATTTTATAAATAAAATGATTTTTAAAATATCATCAAATATATCAGTAAACTAAGGGCAAATGGCCAAACTATACAGCACACTTGCTGAAACATGAAAAGGGAAGCAGAAGTAGTTTATATATTTTTTCTATCAACCATCCAATTCTGAAGCAGAGCCCAAGCATCCAACTAAGCTGGTGCTCTTAGGACGTATTCTTTTTTTTTTTTAGCATCTTTATTGGAGTATAATTGCTTTACAATAGTGTGTTGATTTCTGCTTTATAACAAAGTGAATCAGTTATACATATGTCCCCATACCTCTTCCCTCTTGCATCTCCCTCCCTCCCACCCTCCCTATCCCACCTCTCTACGTGGTCACAAAGCACTGAGCTGATCTCCCTGTTCTATGAGGCTGCTTCCCACTAGCTATCTATTTTACGTTTGGTAGTGTATATATGTCCATGCCACTCTCTCATTTTGTCCCAGCATACCCTTCCCCCTCTCCATATCCTCAAGTCCATTCTCTAGTAGGTCTGCATCTTTATTCCCGTCTTGCCCCTAGAGGGCAAGGTCTTGGTTGTAGGTTTATCTCTTTTATCACTTTACATATGTCCTGCCATTCCCTTCTGGCTTGCAGAGTTTCTGCTGAAAGATCAGCTGTTAACCTTATGGGGATTCCCTTGTGTGTTATTTGTTGTTTTTTCCTTGCTTCTTTTTTTTTTTTTTTTTTGCGGTACACGGGCCTCTCACTGTTGTGGCCTCTCCTGTTGCAGAGCACAGGCTCTGGATGCACAGGCTCAGTGGCCATGGCTCACTGGCCTAACTGCTCCGCGGCATGTGTGATCTTCCTGGACCGGGGCACAAACCTGTGTCCCCTGCATTGGCAGGCGGACTCTCAACCACTGCGCCACCAGGGAAGCCCTCTTGCTGCTTTTAATATGTTTTCCTTGTATTTACTTTTTGATAGTTTGATTAATATGTGTCTTGGCATGTTTCTCCTTGGATTTATCCTGTATGGGACTCTCTGTGCTTCCTGGACTTGATTAACTATTTCCTTTCCCATATTAGGAGGTTTTCAACTATAATCTCTTCAAATATTTTCTCAGTCCCTTTCCTTTTCTCTTCTTCTTCTGGGACCCCTATAATTCGAATGTTGGTGTATTTAATGTTGTCCCAAAGGTCTCTGAGACT